GATTGGTTAAATCATCACATTTTCATGGAGCACATCCCACGGCAGTTACTGAGGAGGAATAAAGATGGAGGGATAAATCTCCATTAGAGAAACCGAGGGGAACATGTGTGAGCAGCGTAATGATGTCACTGCTGTAAAAGGAGAGTGAAGTTGGGGATGGGTCTGCCTGGTGCTGAGAGAAAAGAGTCGACAGCCAGACTGCCTGTGTCTACTGTGCCGCTTATGATTCACCTGCCACGTTTCTTTACTTCTGTCCCTCATTTGTAAAATTAGGAGGATAATGGCTGTAATAAAATAACCAAAACCTTGGAGGACTATAGTGATAGAGATTTCTTTCTTATGGCTCCGGAGTCTGGGAAGTTGAAGATGGATGCGCTGCCTCGGTGTCTGATGAGGGCCACATCCTGTTCAGAGGCCGTCTCCCCACTCCCTCTAACTGCGGAGGAAGGGGCGAGGCAGTCCTCCAGGCTATTCTACATGGGTGCGAGGCACACTCATAAGGGCAGAGTCATTTGGGCCTAACCATCCCCAAATAACTCATCTCTTGATACTCTCATGTTGGTGATTAGGATTCTACATATGAATTTTGGGAGACAGAAACATGCAGACCATAGCAAGGACTGCATGCGATAATAAATGTGAACGTGTTTGAAAAGCGTGTCTCCTGCTGCTGTGACTATGCACTAGCTCCCCAGTGGTAAGGAAGACCCTTGAAGTCACCCGTGAGTCCCCTTGTGCCCAGGGAAGGGGTAGGTTAGACGAAAGCAAGTAAGTTTTGGGCTGAGCTTTGAAAGATGAGCTACCCAGACAGATGAGGGCAGCAATCCCATGATGAGTAAATGAAACATCACATGCAAAGATTCTGAGGCACGCAAGGGGAAGACATCCTGCAGCTGCAGTTATCTGTATTTTCCTGGATTATCTGTTTCTTTGTAGGTGGCTTTTGGAGAAGTCACGATAAGCCGAAGCTAGATCCCAAAAGATGCAATGTGCCATTCTAAAGGGTGTTAGTGTTATTAAGTAGGACTACATTTTGCAAGTGACCAGATGCACAGAGGGCTTAAGTGGAAACAGCATTTAATGGATACTGTAACTGAAAAGCCCAAGGAAGATCTATGCCTGATGAAACCTATACATAGATCTACATCGAGGTTCGAACGATGACTCCAGGACCTCGTGTTCTCTCTTGATCTTATTTTTTTGTTTCATCTGTGGATGACTCCCTTCTGAAGAGGCATGTGCTTTGTTATGCTAAGGTGGGAGCTGGCGGTCCACAAACTCAAGTCCAGTGAGATTTTCTTCTATAGAAGTTCTGGCAAAGTCTCACTGTTTCTGACTGACTCATCGGAACTGATTCTTCTGGTGAGTGGAGTGCTATGCTCTGTTCGATCAGGTCGGGGATGAACTATGCAAGAGTTAGTTTCACTGAGAAGCTCATTGGCTTAGCGTGTAAAAGAGGAGGTGGTCCTTCAGAAGGAGGGTGGGTAAGGGTGCCAGAAAAGGTGGAATGTGTGTCTCATAGAAAAATCCACAGAACTTCGACATCTATTATATTTAGGGACAGTGTGAGAGACTGCTTGGGCCTGCATAAGATGGCTGCCCTCAACCTTAGCCTTTGCCTCGGTGGAAAAATCCCACTAGACTACATATGTGACTTTTGGCAGGTCTAGCCCCTGGGCAAACAGGAAATCTTACAGAAAGAATAGCCCTTTGTGCTAACCACAGGGTCACGGGATCTGGAGCAGGAAGCAGGTGGTATTTCCTTGTCCTACTTGCCCTAGGGATTGTGAAGTTAAAGATTGCATAGGGTTAATTGTTGATGTACGCCTTCCCACTTACCCCTCCCCACATTTGGTAAAATACTGATTGCTGTATGGTTAAATGCTTGAATGACTCATGTGATTGGTAGAAGATTTGCTTGAACTGTCCAATAAGCTTGCTGAACCTTCCCCCTGGGATAACAGTATATAATCGTTTTGCTGAGCCAATAAAGCGCCTTTGATCAGAAACCAGACTTGGGCCGTGTACTCTAACTTCTTAAAGATTTCCTTCACAGACATTCAAGATCGGATCGGCCTCTGATGACCCACGAATAAGAGGCGGCTCTCATCTCCTATTCCCCGCGGGACGGGGTCCCCCCAGAGAGCCGCAGGACAGGACAGGAGATGATTTTTTAAGATGTAGGGTGACGTGACCACGTCTGTGTTTTAGAAGGAGAAATTCAACTGAGTGGGGGATGGGTTGGAGGGCTGTGGCTGGAGGTAAAGGGTTAGTTACAAAGTTTTTTTTTTTTTTTAAATTAATCCAGGGAAGCAGTGATGATAATATGGAGAAAACCTTAACATGCAATCAATCGGAAGTGTGCGTATAGGGGCCAGGACCATAAAAATTTTATGCTGAACGAAACTTAGTGGAGAAGAGAAAGGTGTTGTGATTGCACCTTAAGTTTTTGGCTTTGGTGACAGTGTGGCCTGGCTAGTGATGCCATTTCCTGAACAGGGAACCACGGAAGGACCGAGAGGGGAAGACAGAGCAGAAAATAGCTACGTCTAAAACCTCCTCACATCCATGATGTTTTCTGCGGAGTGGCCCAGACAATGTTTATTCAGAGTTTCTGAAGTCTAATTTGGACCATTGCTATGCACAATGGTAAGTGACCTGGGGGTGCCCTGGTGCATAAAAGACACTTAAAACCCATGTGTGCGGTAGATGGAGGGCAGGGACCCACATGTGCTCATGCCTACCTGGTTTCATATGAGCCTCATTGCTGCCTATTTAAGTTGATTTTGCTATTTTCTTTTTGATTCTTTGTGTATTTTGCTTATCTTTATAAGAGGCACTGAACACGTCTGGAAAAAATACTCTGTAGTAAATGAATATCGCTTAGTATTGCATATTCCTTCCACGTTAGCTCTTACAAAGAATGATTGAAATGAGACCTGAATTTAAAAAATTGTTCTTTCTTTACACAAATATTCATAAATGTGGGCAAATTGTATCTATTATTTTTTAAGGAATAAAAGACTCTGAAATTTGCTTAACATTTGTTCTTTTAGTACCCAAACTCTTTTTCTTTTCCTATGTCAGCCGTCTGCTTCCCATCCCCATGCCATTGATATCTCAAAATAAAGTTTATCAGGCTGGTGATTTAGCTCAGAGGCACAGCACCTGCTTGGGAGGTGCAAGGTCCTGAGTTTGATCCCCAGACCCCCCCCCCAAATTATCATCTCTGGGCATAAGACCAATGAAAGAAATTATAGTTTAAAAAGTTACTTGAAACAGGCTCTATAATGAAGGAAGTCAAAAAATAAGCAAATAATTAAAAAATGTGTAGATCATGATCAGAAGAAAATTTGATTTCCCAAATTGGCTAATTTTGTTGGCTCATTTTTCTACTGTGTGGCCTGGGATTCTAGTGTCAGCTGTTTTCTGTAGGCAGCGGACTGTGTGAAATCACCTTTGCTTCCTCTTCCTCATCGAATCCTTGTTGCTCTTGGTCACCTGGGCTCACAATTCAGGGGAGCAACAAGTGGACACAGTGTGGCAGGCAGAAGAAGGGAAGGTAGGGAAATGGAAAGCCAGGCATTGCCTTCCTCACAACTGCTGATGGTTACACATTTCACCTCTGATAACAGAAGCACCTAGCCTTGGAACACAGAGGCTCCTCACTTTTTCCTAAATAAAGTTCCCACTCCTCAGTCTGGCCCTCCAGGTGCTCATGTGTATGGTTCATTGATGCTTCTCCTGGGTCTCTCTTCTTGCTTTCATGCTCAATCTGCCTTTTACCTCTGTCTTGGCTCATAATCTCATCCCATCATCACTGAGGGCATTTCCCTGGCCCACCTTAATCACCACATATTTGGATGTAAACATTGTCTCTTCTTTCACAGAACTGTTTCTGTTAGTAGTTTAGCACTTAATATATTCTACCCTGTTCTTTTCCAGAATTACAGGTATTTGTGTGTGTGTGTTTGTGTGCTTGTCATTTTTGTGTCCTTAGACATTTGATGGCAGTAGCTCTATCATACTCATTGTAGCCTTCCTCTGTCTTCACAGAATCCAGCATGGTGACTCAAGTAGAGGGGGCTTTAAAATGCTGATTAAGTTAATGAGCAAAGACAAGAGCAACAGAAGATGCAATAGAAGATATTGAAAGGGAAAGATGAAAGGAATATGCTTCCTATAAACCAAAGGAGCGGTAAATGAAACAGAATCAGAGAAGATTACCCAAAGGAACTGAAGTTAAGCAGACAACAAGATGCTAACACAGAAGAGAGGGTGGACTGAGGAGGAGCAAGACTTGAAGGAGACAGTTGTTTTCTCAGATGTTTGGTCTCTCTCGCTTCTCCTCCTGTTCCTTCCTGCCTCCAACTCACTTGTAGATCAGTGGAAATGTGTCTTGCTTCACTGGAATTCAAGGTGTAGAATGTCCCTAAGAAGCATCATTTCACCACAGTATAAAGTAGGGCCGTTATCTGTGAGAAAGCTAATAGGGCAAATGTTTGTCCTGGAAAACCTTCAGGTTAAAGGATTTGGGTGGCTTCTCTCCATGAATTACCCATCTGGGGCTTCCTCTATTTCCGGGTTTTCCACTCCATTCCCAGTTAAAAATGTGTTGAGGTTGGGATGGGGTGGGGGATGCAGTCACTGAGCTCCTTCCTCGCTTCGCGTTCATCCCGCTCAGTGAAGCACACGCACCTTGGGGTGCCGGGTGTGAAGTCTTCTCTGGTCCCAGCCGCAGGCACTGTGGGTCCCATGCGCCTCCAGCCTGGAGTCGATCTGCTCACACTGAGAGTGTGCTCACCCCAAGCCATCAGCGTGAAGCTGAGACTTGTCTAAACCCACTCTTCAACCTGATCAGTACCGGAGTGTGTACAGGCTCAATAATGTGTCCAGGGACTATGCATGACCATGAAGGAAGGAAGGAAGGAAGAGTAAAACGAAAGCATTTTGTCATTTCACTTTAATTTACATGAAAATATTCAGCATCTCTTAAGTTTGCATTTTGACTTATTACAGCCTTTTGAGATTTGTCAAACACTAGGCAATTATGGTTCTTTTAAATAACAGACAAAAATACAATTTTATGAAGATTTAATGAGGCGGTATCATTGTCAGCTGGTTTTATCACTAAGGGCATTTAATAAAATTTTTGTTAATGTAGTCTTTAATTTGTTTAAATATTTATAAAGATGAGTTTCAAGAGAATTTGCATCCGGGGTTGTTGTACATAGTTGATGTTGATGTAGTTTCAACTGTCTGGTGGTTTATCTCGCCTCCATAAATTCTGCCGGAACCGTCCGTAGATGCTCTGGAATCTGATTAGGAGCCTCTTCGGATTCCCTTCTTGCTTGTTTTACTTCCCAGCTACCCAGACTGAACCAAAGTGTCAGTCGCTGTGATCTCGGCACTCTCAGGCTGGTGGTGTGGGTCACAGTTCATCATCTTCTGATATGGAATCCAGGTAATCTGTGTCAACGTAGAGGAGAAATCCAGAGAACAAGCTGTCTGCCCAGCCTGGGTCTGAGAAGAGGCCGTTCTGGTCTGTGAAGAAGATCTCCAGCCAGACCTCATCTTCCGGCTGCAGGTAGATGACCGTGGACCCAGAAGCCACATCGTGGTTCCCCGTGTTGGCATCAAAGGTCTTTATCTTGTACTGGCCGTTGTGCACCAGCCCGATAGCCAGGTGCTTGTTGGCCAAGGTGATGTCATAGGAGAAGTAGTAAATCCCCGGGAAGGCACAGATGAACTTCCCGGTCATGGGGTTGTAGTGCTCTCCTTCGTTGAAGAGCACCTTGTTAAAGATGATAGGTAGTCTTTCTTCTGGGTAGCTGGTTGTGATGCCCACAGAAAAGGCGGATTTGAGCACGATGCTCCCACATCTGCACACTCCAGGAATCCCTGGGTCCCCTTGGTCTCCTCGGTCTCCCTTTGGTCCAGGAGGCCCAACTGGACCTACTTCTCCTTTCTGTCCTTCTGGTCCCAGGGGTCCTTTCTTTCCAGGCTCTCCTTGGTCCCCTTTCTCACCAGCAATACCCAGAGGCCCCGTCTTACCTCTCAGACCTTCGAAAAGAGGGAATAGTGGAATCAGTAGTTCCTCAGAAGAGGCAAAACCAGCACACTGACACACCCCAACTTTGTCTGGCACACCCTAACTTTGTGTTTTCAGTCGATCTCCAACAGCGTACTACTAAACAATAAATACTTAAAAAATTAATCCACTAAAAATGAAAACAAAGTTTTCATCAGAATTTCAAGTCCGTCTTCTTGAGTATATGAGTCATTGTTTAGGCCCCAACTAATATAGAAATACCTAGCTTTCATTTTGGTGACAGATCACCTGCTACTCAATTACCCACACCAAGGCACTGATTGCTACAGGAAGACTTCTATCCGCATGATGGTATTGTTCCCCAGAGCGGGCCTGTGGGGGCAGACTAACCTTTAGGGGAAGTTTAGCTTCATGCCCCATTGTATTTCAGTTGGTGTTAATAATAAGAGGATTAATCACAATTAAACTCACTTAAGTTTGTCAACAAGTTACTATGTGTCAGGAACAGTGTTAAGTGTTTTATTTGCATGCATTACCTTACTTCAATTGCACAAGGACTCTAGAAACTAGGAGTTATTATTGTGCCCATTGTAGGTGAGGACACTGAACCAGGGAGAAGTCATTTTTCTCAAGGGAACAGAGCTAGTGAGTGATGGAGCTGTGCCCTGAGCTCTCATGACTCTGGAGCTTGAATGTCCCCAGGGACAGCGGCTAAAGTGGCCCATAGTGAGGGTTCCCTATTCCAAAAGAGCTAAAAAATGATGACTGTGACCACCACACAGTAGTTCCTTTTCAGAGGAGAAAACTGAGTCCCAGAGAGGCAAAGGAAGTTGGTTGTGTAGCACTGTTAGGGCTGGAACCCAAGCTTTCTGAGCCTAATTCAGCACCACAACACCTAGTGATGGCTTCCCTTCATCAAAATGTCTCTTACCTTTGGGCTGGACTCAAGAACCCTAACGCTGATGGACTGTGCTATTATGAATTATATCCTTTTAGGCAAGACCCTTAATTTCTCTGGGTCTCCTCACATTAGGAGAAGAGACAGTGACTGTGAAAGATCAAATTCAAAGTCATCATACAGGACTACTTTCATTATATCCAAATCTTTATATCTTGCACTCAATATTAGACTAATTTACAGATATGGTGACCCTGGATGTAACAAGCAAAATCTGTTGAATTTTTAAATAGCAATGACAACTTAATAAAAATGTGCTGTTTAATTTTATGGACAAATCCATTTTATAAATGTTGCTTGTACAATGATACCTTCTACCCAAATATACAAATTATTGGTATGCAGCAATGCATGCTGCAGTCAGGGAAACATATTATTGATGCATGTTTTTACTTTTAGTTATGTTTGTGTTTTCAAGATGCTTTAAGCTAAGCATTTTGCTCTTGATGTTACACTGATAAATTTATGTGAAAATTGCACAGGCTTCAATGTTTAAGAATTTGGTCCTTTTTTTCAGTTAGCTGGAAAATTTAGTGAAGTGTTCTGGTTAATACAAATTTGAAGAGAATTCAAGCTTTACCCTTGAAGTATCAAGTATTATGATTTATTTAATTTTGGAAAGTGGCATTTCAATCATTTATGATGTGTGGAAGATGCTAACTGTAAATGTAACCCCATTTCAGCGAGTCAGGATCTATGACCTTCCTGTCCACACTCATGTCTCCTAGCTCCAGATAGTAGCGAGTATTGTTAAAATTGAAACTTTACTAGTCCAGCCAGGACCCCTCTGATATTCTTGAAATAAGGTCATAATCATCTGATCTTTCCATTTTTTATTCCTTTTTGGTGGAAGTGGAACATGGATGGTATTTTGCTATTAAATTGATTTTAGCATCAAAGACTACAACTCTTAAATTGACATTTTTATCTTTAACGAGAGCTTAATTTTTTTCTGACTTCATCAATGACCTTTGATGCATTTTAAAAAAACCACTTGGGATTCAGTTACAGTTTTAACCATAATATTTCATCACCCACTCAAGTCCTCCTGCCTCTTTGATTTTGGGGGTCATTCCTGTTTGTTTTTAAATGCTCCACATGTAATATGGAGAGAGTGTTCACAAGTATACTCCAAAATTAGTGGGCAAAGCCCTCAACAGTGAAGTGGTATATTGGGGCATTAGCGTGGCATAAACCCACTTGGTTACACAGTTGTTTGGTGATTTTAAAGGAGGGGCCCGATCTCTCAGGCTTCAGTTTCCCAGCCGTTGAGATGAAAGTTTGGCTTTTGGATTGCTTGAGGACTCTTCTTCTTGAAAATGCACCGAGACCAAATCTTAAATACTGAGATTTGATTTCAAAATGTTGTGGACAAAAATGTTTGCACAACCTAAATGCTTAAATTTTCTATACT